GAAGAATAAAGACACAATCTACTACAGCAGCCAATACATGGCTTAGGACAGGCACATGGGACTACTTAAATCTTGTCCGACAGAAGCAGGCAACAGTTCTGATTGCATTATACCTATGCTATGCATATTGCGGAAGGGGCACATTTCGGCCTCGAAAGATACGAATTCATACGTCATTGTAACATATATTTCTGTGGTGGTCAATTTGCGTAAAAATTGAACACCGGGTGATTAACTACCGAGCTATTGTTCTATCCAAATTTTCTGATTCAAACTCGCTCAGGGTTATCGTGCAGGTAAAGGAGGCCCGCTCAGCAGAATGCTTATGAAATATGGAGAGATTCTGAAAAATGGGTGGGGGGCCCGCACACTAGGGGGCCCGCTTTGGAGGCGATGACCCCCCCGAAACGAAATCCTGGCTGCGCCACTGCAGGGGCATTACAAGCCTGTCAGGGGCACCAGAGGCCTAGCAAGGGCACCACAGGCCTACCATGGACACCACAGGCCTGCCAGGGGCACCACCGGCCTTGCAGGGGCGCCTCAGGCCTGTCAGGGGCACCACGTCCCTGCCGGGGACACTTCAGGCTTGTCAGGGGCGTTACAGTCCTGTCAGGGCCCAGGGGCACCAGGCCCGTGGTGTCCCTGCTAGGCCTGTGGTGCCCCTGGTGGTCCTGTGGTGCCCCTGTCAGGACTGTGATACCCCTGATAGGCCGGTGGTGCCCCTGGCAGGTCTTTGGGCCCCCGGGCCTCAAGGGGGGGCCATGACCCATGTGACCCCCCCCCCTTGGATCCGCCCCTGGCGCTCCCTACCGCTGATTACGTTCGATTCGCGTCAAATTTTGTGAGATGACTAAGAAATGTACAGGCAATCTTATGGTGAAAGAATTTTGAAAATCGGTTGGTAAACAATTGAAATATGAACGTGTAAACACAAAATTGATTGCTGCGTTTCCCGCATCGGCCGAGCCCGCCTCAGCCGGCGACATGTTACTCTTAGCAGGCCTCTAACTGCCATATTTATTATTGGATTAACTAGAAATTCCCCATATATACTAAAAAATGTATGTTCTTTCGTGTAGTGAAGATCAAAAGGCGTGAAGATATCGTTGCGTGATAATGTTATTGTTTTCGTTGAATTTACTTCATGATGCATTTCCACACGGCTCAAAATTCACCGCAAAATACCGTTTGCCTGAGACACTTTTACTATGGAACGTGAATGCTTGACTACGATGACTATGCATTTCCATTCTCGCAGAGTTTGGGATATCACTAATCAGCAATCATTCATTTCAGAAAGTGTACACAAGCAAGCATGTCTTGACTCTGTCTTTCAAGGTCACGCGCGGTTGCGTGATGTTGATGCATGAAAACGGCGTTTGCCGCGAAAGTTATGAATGGCCCACTCCAATTTTTTCACAGATGGTTAGGAACATTGTGACGGACATAATATGTAAAAATTACCCAAATCGAAGGTGACGTGTTTTTTGCTATTTAAATTTTTCTGTTTTAATTCAAGGTCAAATACATTTCAAGGTCACTTCAATTTAATTTTATAATTAAAAATCAAAGCCTTATCAATTGCCTATAAGACCCTGTTAATATCATTTTGATACCAGAAAAGGAACCAGAGTTATAGCCATTTACAAAATTGATGTGTGGCATTTTTCGCTATATTCGATGACCTATATCTCAGCGATGCGTTATCAAATTTCGAAAATATTATACGTAACTCAGTTTTGAACCATGCCCAGTCTGCCTACAAATTTTCAGAAAAATCGAAGGGGATGACGGATTTCGGTGTTTGATTTGACGTGGAATGCCCCAGCGGAGAAATCCCAGGGAGTGTGGATTGCAAGGATCGCTTTACGTCCATTACACGTATGTACAAATGGACTTTGGGCACATTTGTTCTGGTTACTTTCCTCATCTGGGCGGGAACAAGGTGCCGGTATGTTGATTTCTGAAGTGAGAACATCATTATTGAATATAGCAGTCCCGACGAGTTTTTTTCGATCAAAGATTGTTCGAAAACTATGATATTCGAAGCCTTGCGTTGGATGTCTTGCGTTGGAAAGTTGAACAAACAACACTTGAAATTTCCATTAGCCAGGGAATTAATCTCCGGTTAATTCCAGGGAACAACCGATTAATCTCAAACAACATCGTTCAAAAAGTTACTACACCACACCACTGGATTGTAAAAGAGCTGGGTTGCGTAACAACCAGCTCCTGAGGTTTTTTTAAGCCGCTCGATAACATCGAGTATCTCGATTGGCATGTATTCATTCCGTGTCAACGGAAACTGAAACGCATCACACCAATCCAATAACTTTCCAAAGAACTTATTTCATTGGAGAAATCAATGGGCGGGCCGCGGGGTAATCGGTGATTATCATTCCCGCGTTATCGTACATTACAGCGGCACGATGCCCGGCGTTCTTCCCACCGTGCTAAGCAGTCTACTAGACGGGTGTTCATGGACCACCGTCCAATCACCGGCACCGCTAACTGAAACGACAATCGCCATCCGTCGGCAGAACGACGCGAAAAATGGCCGACTTAATATGCCAATCACGATTCGGGAGCCACCGAGGCACCTCAGCCATAACGTTATGCATGAAACGAGCGGCTGCCAAACGACCCGAGCATTCAGGGTCAGAGGCGCTCCTGGCCAAAACAGACATCGTGAGGAGCTCGGTATGCTTTCATTAGGCGCATAATTCAAAGCAAGGCACCGTCTTAGTTGAAATAAAAATGTCTCTTTGCCCGCCACCCAGAATGAGCGCAAAATGTGGAGGCAGATGAATGAGACAAATCGCCGCGCTTTGAGTGCCGGCGAGGCGGCTCATCCTCAGGGAGGCGTCGCCCACCATTCTCAGCGTGCCAGCACCCCGGTCGGCGCCACGGCAGCCGGGCCACCTCCCCGGCACCGGGGACTATTTCTGGCCACTGTCTCGGCATCCACGTCTGCTCGGGCCGACAGCGACCCGCCCCGCCCGTCCCCGGTTCGGTCAGACGCCAGTAGGCCCACAGACGGGTGTATGACTAGAGGCTCGCTGTTCTGGTGATCGTACTTTCGGGTCATGGCCCGGCCCGGCTCGGCCCGTCTCCACTGTGCCTGCAGTGAGCGTCTGTTTTTGCACCGTGCACACTGCACACTGCACAGAGAGCGGTGTGCCTCGCCGCGCGGACCGGCAGCGGACGCCACCTGTTGGCCGCACGCCGGTTCTGAGAAGCGGCGGCCGCCCCGCCGCTCTGGTGGCATTTCCGGCGCTGGCCGCCACTGGCTCCCAGGGAATTCCTGTTCCAATGTCAGGGTCAGGGTGGCGGGCCGGCACAGGTGGGCGCCCGAGGGCGGAGGCGGAGGCGGCACGGCCTTTCCGGTGACTTTCCGGGGAGCCGGACACGTGCCGCCTCCGCCCGACGTCATCGCGTCATCAGAGTTCGCCCCGTCATCAAACGGATGCCCGGGTAGGTGCGTCATCCACGTCCAGTCCCTGGCGTATCGCTCGCCAACATCGCGCTACGTCATCACTTCACGTGACGTCATCGGCTGGCCCCCGAGGGGTTATAAAGAGCCGGTGTGAACCGCGCCGGGGTCAGTAACCGCCTTGTGTGAAAGAGCTTCGAAGAAAGCTCCGAACCCACGCATGAATCTTACGAACCCCTATGCGCGATACGAGTTACGACAAACCGCTTAAATATGTATGGTTTACGAACAAAGGTGCGATTGCACAACTAGGAAACTGGAAGTCGAGCTGACTGCACAACTAAGAAACAACATCCATGCATGATGCATGATACATGCATACAAATCGCCTGCATACCTACTGCATAGTGCATGCGGTAAAGCAGGAGCGACCAAGCTAATACAACTTCATCACATATATGTATACGTTTAGCGTTAACTACCTGAATACGGATTACGGAACACACATAGGCACCTGCAATCTGCACGCATGAGCTGCATCCTTGGAAAGATCCCGGGAAAGTGTGTCGATGAAAGGGACTTACTTGACGGAGGGTCCCACTCCTGCCGCTACCAGACCGTGCAGTCAAGACGACGCAGCCATCTAGCACGGCATCCAGGGCTAACAGCCATCTGAGACGGCAAATGACGGTTGTAAGCTGCATGCAGCGGCAACAACAGGCTAACCTGAAACGCAGACATAAGAGTCAAATTTCAAGTATTTGGAACTTTCTTCCAAGACCTTTTGGGTGATAGACCAACACAGGGATGAGACTCGCCGTCTCGGGAAACTTCATCGGTCGGCAACAAAGTAAAGGCACACGATCGGCAACAAAGTAAAGGCAACACAAATGCATATTTGCAGTTTGCACTTCTCAATCATCATGCTGCAAACTTTGCAAAACACGCACGGAGCGTAAAATACGAACATGCCTATTGCCTACATACCTTCAGGCGTTTGCTTATTGCATGCAATATGTGCAAATCGTGCATTCTTGCCGGAATCCGGGCATTTGACCCCGTGGATGCCTTGATTTGTGCAGCGTCCACGCCGCGCTTTGAGTGTGAAATTTACCTGCATCAAACCTAAGGCCGTATGGGCCGTATAAAGGCATCAAGATTCAAGTCCATCTTAAGCTCTGCAGTCTGCATATTTTACTTCATTTCGCGCGAGTTCAACTTCAGATGCTTGTTCCTCAAGAATTCTTGACTCTTGTCACTCTTGTCGATGTTATGCCCATTCCATTGAAGCCTAGTTTATAAGCTCAGTCCCGCGACTTCAGTCAGTCCCGTGACTTTGAACACCGTGGGCCTCGGGCCTTGACCGTTTTCTTTTTTTTTATACAAGTGAATGAAATGGAAGGAGATGCACCCCTTCCTGTCACGCTAATCTCACAAAACTCACGGCCCGGCATATAGACCAAAATTTGACTACTTCGACCAATGGACCACGCCAAGGCCGACCACGCGCGGATGCGCGCGGATTAGAATTTTTCGCGCGGACGGCGCGGACCACGTGCTACTTTCTGCGCTTGGTTTCTGCTAGATACCCAGATGTCGCCACCTGTCGGCTGCAATGATTTTGCTTTTTTAACATTTGATAACAAACTCAACAAGACAATGGCCAAATAGTTAATGAGTCACCCGTTATCAGTGCCAATAAAGCTACATAAAGTCTCAAAGAAGTGTTTTTCTCATAACTAAGTAATTTCAAAATAAATGCACTTGGGTAATCAACAGCTGTTAGCGCTAAATATCTGTAGTCAAATCATACGCAGCTGCTTCAAAATATTGTCATTGCTTCGTGCGGCGGCGAGCGCGGCAAGGCCCTAAAACACAGCGCGCAAGGCCCTAAACTTGACCCTAATTACATAGCGTGGAGAGTGCGAGGGGTCCATAGAGAGTGGTCCGTGTTGGACGCAAGAGCCAAGCTGCTACGCGCCCTAACCCAGAACAACAACGAGAGTGGTCCGTTTCAATAATCAATTTATCAGTTGATTGAGGTGTAAACAGTGGGATATATCAGTGTCATGATATTGCTTGATTGATTTTTCAATGGGTGCTTTGTATTTATGTTGTATGCAAATGCACAGGCTGATTTTGACATAACACATCACGTGCCTTTTCTTTTTTCAATATTTTCCACTCAGGTTTCCAGTTGCCACTATTAAGTATAAACCCACAAACGTGACATTGCATCAATTAATAGTGTATGTTTTGAGCAAATGTTAAATATGTTTCAAGGAAGACTGATGTTTCAGGGCAAGGAGGTACATACATACCAAACTTATTCCTTCCTTTGACGGGCTGCTAGGAGTGATGGCTTCCAGTAGTGCTGCAAAGGACACAGAGGCAGCTCTCGGTCCAGTTGAAGAAAGGTAAGGACCAGCATCAGGAATGAGTGAGGTCATCAAATGCAAAGTGAAGCAATGTTGACAAGATCTTGTGTGTGCACAGGTGGCACAAATTTTTAGTGATGCGATGCTGGCCCTAACTCTGATCCTGTGCTGAACCCCTGTTCTGGCACAGCCTGGTTGGTAGTTCTAAGCTATGGCTTCTGCACACTAGGTGCAGTAGTTACCTTCTTACTGTATGATATGAATTGGTTCATGATTGGTGTTCTTAAACATGTACCTACTGCTTTCACACCTAGTTTCATTGATTTCAAGATCATTTTCCATGTCAATGTTTTGTGATTGCAATAGTGCTGCTCATCAATTACTACCTATCTAATTCACCAAACTACAATGATTAACAATATTCTTATGGAATATAAATTTCCAATCTGGACTTAACTTACCACAGGATCTTGGAGCTATGTCGAACATATCCAAAGGGAATCTCAGACAAGATCATCCAGAATGACAACCCGGAGCTGGAGCAGAAGGAGCGTGTTCAAGCAGTCAACAACCTGCTGGCAGCGGTAGGTACTGCTACCTCATTAACACTAATGACTTGGCAAATAGGCATGCTGTTAACTGCTTTCAGTGCTTTACTGATGCATCACTTGCTTTCAACTTGATGTTTTTCAAGTGTCCTGTGGGATTCCAGATGTATAATGTGTAACTATGAGTACCTATGCATGTTTCCATGTAAGTACAATATGAATTCCAATGATCATTATTTTACCCATCATTGCTTATTGTTATTTTAATGCCTGTCAATCTTAGTACGTCATTATAATTGTTTGAACACTTCTATACAACATCTTTACATTGAATGACATTCTAAGGTCAACTAATCAGCTGTTCTTTTGCTCATCATTTCTCATGCTTCTTTCAGGGCCATATCGACCTGTTTAAGCAGGGTTCCGAGCTCATCTACCGATTGAAGGGCACCAGTCGAGCACGGGGCGGCGACGCCGAGGAAAAGATTGTTTATGGCATCATAGAGGAGGCCGGCAACAAAGTAAGACGACGAAATGTTTGCGTTTGAATGACGTGGTGCGAAACAATGGTGCTTCAACTGTCTGGGATGTGTTTTCACATATGCCATCTCTAAAACAGTAATTGCTCTGGGCTACGGTAATAGGGGGTGCATAGGCGGCGGAACGGGGGGGGGGCACCGGGGCACCGTGCCCCTCCTTGATTTTGACATTTTAACATTAGCCCTATGGGCGTTGCATGGAAAGAATGGGACCAAAAGTTGGCAGTGCCCCACTTTATTGAAGGTGTTCTGCCTCTACTGTAGGGGTGCACTTGATAACTTTTCAACTCTTGTATGGCTTGCGTGTCTTCGAATGTGCTGTCTAATTCTTCTTAGGTTGAAAAGCTTGCTAGCTCTGATCTTCGTTTTTTTGTTGTTGTTGTTGTCTTTTTCAGGGAATATGGATCCGCGACATTCGCTTCAAATCAAACCTTGGCATGACCCAGCTGAACAAACTGCTGAAAACTATGGAGGGAAAGAAGCTCATCAAATCAGTGACGTCTGTTGCGGTAAGACCATAATCTTTTCGTATTATTGTACGAGTTGAGTTGGTATGGCTATTCGATTTATTACAAGAGTGAATAGAAACTGATTTTCGTACTAGGTAACTATTCGGCATATGTACACATTGGAATGCTCTCTCGTAATCATCTGCCGCTAGAGCTGGAGGCTGGCATTCGGAAGTTACCACCTTCTTGCACTCAAATTAGACAGTACAACTTGTTTTCGCTAATAACAACGAACACGTCGCGTCTCCGCCCACCAATCACCCGGCGCATTTTACGTGACACCTCCCTTCGCACAGGCGTCCCGCAAGAAGGTCTACATGCTGTACGACATCGAGCCGGACCAGTCGGTGACGGGCGGCGCGTGGTACTCGGACCAGGACTTTGAGTCCGAGTTCGTGGAGGTGCTCAACCAGCAGTGCTACAAGTTCCTGCAGCAGCGCGCTGAACAGGCGGCGGCCAGCTCGGACGGCCCGATGGCCGTGAGGAACCTCTCCTGCGCCTCGTCCAAGGAGATCGCCCAGTACATCTCCGAGCTGGGCATCAGCAAGGTACGAACCACGTAAAGTTAGTGCCCCAGAACACCTTCACCTTCTCATTTAAACATATTTGTGCTTCCTGATAACAAATATTTACACTATTCACGCTTATAAGATCCTACAGACACGCACATTCGCAGAACATTCGACATCCACTTTTCATAAGCTATCCTACGTTCCGCCGTAGCCGAGGTTACGTCATAAATAACACTACCTATATTTCGCCACCCGTCGACAACACCGTAGTCGAGCCGGCCTCAGGAGAGGAGCTCACAGAGGAGTGCGAATCCTAAAACCGCCGTCAGCGCCATCTGCAGCGCCCCCGCCGCAGATACCTCGTGGTGCACCTCGAACTTCGGCATCTCCGTGGCTTCTGGCTCGAGAAAGTTGATGTACCTGGCGGGAGAAAAAAGGCGTGAATTGTGAGGCGTTCTCGAGGAGGTCGCCGTCAATTACTCACAAATGGAGCGAATTTGACGCGTTATTCCCAATCTAGTTGAAACTTTATCGATTGAGATTGAAAAAACACAACTCCAAAGACAATCTCTGTGATTAACACCCTGAGGTGTTGTATTGTGAATTCCCTATCAACAGCAATATCATACCAATATCATACCATGCTAGCTTAGCGCACCTCCGTTTCAGGATGGTAATGTCCCACCATCTTTCCCCCTCGGCTTCCATTCAGTGCGCCCCGGGGGCGTGGTCTCACATGTACTCGCTCTCTGCGCGCGGAGTGAAGTTGTGCGCGCTGACGCGACCGTCCCGCACCACGCCGATGGCCCAGCTGACGCGGTACGTCCTGTTGACGATGCTGACGTCCTGCGCCACGTCGCCGGTGCTGAGGTTGCGGAAGAAGGTGGCGTGCAGCCTGCCGTCTAACACCGCGCAGTGGTCGCAGCTCACGTCCTGGTGCTGGTCCAGCCGCGGTGTGCTCCAGTTACTGGCAGAGTACCTGGGCGGACGGCCGGACGGGGATGGAATGAGGATGGGATGAACTGAACAGGAAGAGATAGGGACAGAACGAATGGGGAGATGAAAAGGACGAGACGGGACGGGACAGACAGGGTTAATATGGATTTTGACATGATGAAAAGACGGCCTTTGTGAGGGGTGAAGGGAAATCAGGTTTACATTACCCTCACTCGCGACACGATCATTGGACTCATATGACAAGGATGAACGGGTGTGTCTCTTTCTCGTCTGTCCTCTTTCCCTCTACATTTTCTCTGTCCTCTCCCCCTCTCTTTTATCCTCACCTATCTTCCACCTGCCTCCGGTGTGCGATGTAGACGTCTGTGTCATGGTGTGTGCCGGCCGGCTGGTCCGTCTCGCTAAAGCCGAACCCACAGTACTGCAGCTCGTCCAGGTCCATGCAGTCCAGGTCGAACCAAATGGTGCCATCGCTGTGTACCTAACGAGGAAATGTGATTGTCGATCGATGAAGTATCTTGTCCATATTTGCGGTGATTTGTCTTAGCTCCTAATCTCGGAGAAATGATCGTAAGTGTGAGTCGATTATCTCGTACAAACCAGGAGAGAAGATATTGTAGGCCCAGTTATCATTTTACAAGTGTGCGTTTTTACATATATGTGTAAAAATGCACATAGGAGAGAATCAAAGACTTACCACCGAGTCAGAAAACTTACCTCCCAACCAAGAAATGCGTCGGGATTCGTGTGGAACTGTTTGACGAACGCGTTGCCCTCTGCCTTGACTATTCCTGCCGCTTCGAGTCGGGATTTCAGGGATGTGATTTCCGGTAGCCAGGCACTGAGGAGCAGACAGGCTGTTCTCACGAACCCAAGCCCATGCATGGCTTGATTGGCTTCAAGCATTCAGTTTCGATAGTCATCCCCTCTATAGGATGCGAGTACAAAAGGGGGTTCTGTTTACCGTTATGCCATTGTTAGGCCAAAGGCAGCGTCTCCATTTGGTAGGTGTATTGGAGCTTCCACAAGCAGTAGCGGCAGCAGCAGCAGCACAGCAGCACCCGCGCGTGGCGGCTCCCCGGCTCCGAATGACCGCCGCCCCCGGCTGCGGCCGTGACCCCGCGCCGCCGGTCGCAGCGGCGCGCTCAGAGGGAGGCGGCCCGCAGAGGCGCGTCCAGCAGCGCGCCGAGGGGAGGCAACGGGCACACGATCCACTAACACTTCCTAACACACCTCCCCCCTAAATAAAATGTCCCTTATTCTTTGCACTATAAAACAACGCGACGAAACTGCTGCTTCGACCGCGATCGGCCGCGATCAGCTGCAGCAGTGGCATCAGCTGCTCGGTCTGCGGCGCTGCAGTCGGTGACGTCCGCTCCGGTGACGTCCGCCTGGTGACGGCTGCGCTGGCGACATCTGGCGCTGCTGACGTCTGCGCTGGTGATGGCGTCGAAAATCGAGCGCCGCACCTGCGTCTCAGCGGTGGGACGCCACCTCGCGCTTCACCCCCTCGAGGTTCAGGCCTGCCGATGATACATTGGCTCAGAACATGTCGCACACTTTGGTCACACACAATCGAACAAGTCTGACGTGTGTATGCTTATAAAAAGTAGGTACCGTGCCGGAGTACACAGAGATGCAGAGAGTTTGACAACGGTTTTTAATGCAGTCGTTTCAACAAGCGTACCTATTTACAGAGCGGGGTATCTTACCGGAGGCCGGGATACTCTCCCGTATCGTGTGACGTATGTGCTCGTCGGTTGTGGCGTTTGTTCCACAGCCGTGTCACTGGGCACCTGCAAAAAGTGTATGAATGGACTACTCTTCGTAATGATGTTAGAGTCCTGAGATACGGGCTCGTCGGTCCCTTGTTTGTGTTCGTCAGGCGTAGTCTCGTCAGTGGTCCGCTGTCCGTGTTGCTCGGGTGCAGCTGGCCGTTCGGCTGGATCGTCTTTCCTCCGAAGTTTCATAGGTTTCAGATGATTGTGATGAACGTTGGTCTCCTTACCACCGGGCATGCTGACCTTGTAGGTGACTCCGTCTCCCTCCGGACCGTGCCTTCTTAAAATGGTCGCAGGGCCTTTGTAATGAAGGGCCAGCTTACGTTTACCTCCGACGTGAGCCGTATGGTCCCTCACCCACACTTTTTGACCTGGCACATATTCAACCTCTCGTGCCGACTCGTTTTGTGTTTTTGTCATGTCGTTGGAGGCTTTGTTGATGTTTTCGTGAACCTTGGTGTATGCGTCTCTGAGTTGGCGCAGCCTGTTTTCGACATGCGTGTCGACCATCGACACCTCGCGCCTCTGGTTGAAAAGCTCATCAACTGGCAGGCGTGCCTCATACCCATGCACCAGGAAAAATGGGGTAAATCCGGTCACCGAGTGTTTGGACGTGTTGTATGCGAAGGTGAGGAAAGCCAAATGTTCGTCCCAATCAGATCCGCAAGGTTTGATAAATTTCGAGCACATGTCCTTGAGCGTGCGGTTAAAGCGCTCCACCATGCCATCGCTCTCAGGCCGATAGGGTGATGTCCGAGTTTTTTCGATTCCTAGTCGTTTGCACAGGGACTGGAAGACCGCAGACTCAAACTGGCGACCTTGATCGCTGTGAAGGCGTTCTGGCACCCCTTGCCGCAATACCATGTCCAGAAGACAGTCAGATACAGTTTCAGCTGTCTGGTTCTGCATGGGGTAGGCAAAGACGTATTTGGTAAAGTAGTCCATTGCTACTAAAGCGTACCTATTACCGCGAGCCGACATCGGCATCTCGGTGATATCGATAGCCACTCTTTCAAATGGCCTCGAATAGGATTCGGTTCGGAGAGTTGCTTGCATCTGTGGTGCTGGGCGACTGCGTCGTTGACAGGTCTCGCAAGTTTCGCAGTAGCGGGCGATGTCCCCGCTCATCCCCAGCCAGAAAAACCTGGTTGCTGCTCTCTCGAGAGTTCTGTCGGTTCCCAGATGACCAGCAGCCTCATCGTCGTGTAGCATGTTCAGGACTGTCTCATGATAGATTTTTGGAAGGACAATGACTGAGCTGTTGCCATGTCGCCTTAGCTTCAAAATCCCGTTTTCCATCGTGAGCTGGTCGAAAAATCGAGCCATGCTACGTAGTGAGCTGTTCTTCTTCTGCAGTTCTTTTTTAGAAGGGAGCTTCTTTGCTTCCAGCCAGTTTCTGACCTCACCCAGTAAGGGGTCGAGCTCCTGCTCCAATTGTAGCTTTTCGAGGGGGATGTCTTCTCGACCGCCCTTGTGGTCGGCGGCCAGCAGCTCTTTGGTCTCCGTCTCAGCTGTGGAGTCAGTGACGTCAAGGACGGGCCTCGACAGAGCGTCAGCATTACCATTGTCGCTGCCCTTGCGGTACTCAACGACAAAATCGTAAGTACTGAGCTCAATGGCCCACCGACCTCTCCGACCGGTGGCATCGCCGTCGACGTTGATAGATTTTGGGACGTTTTTGAGCGGTTTGTGGTCTGTCAGGACAGTGAACTTGGTGGCCGCGAGGTATTGCCGGAAATGTCTGACAGCCCACACGATGGCCCACAGCTCTTTGTCGTATGCGGGCCACCGTCGTTCAGCTTTGCTGAGGACTTTGCTGGCGAATGCAATTACCCTCTCTTCGCCATCGAGCGTCTCTGAGAGCACCGCTCCCACCGCAGTGTTCGAGGCGTCGGTTGCAAGCCTAAACTCCCCTTTGCATGTCGGTAGAGCCAGGATCGGAGGGGATGTCAGCTTGGTCTTGACGTTTTCGAAACTTTTGATGAGCTCGTCTGTCCATTCCAGTTCTCCCTTCTTCTCAGCAGCTTCTCTGATGGGTCGCACGAGGTCAGAATAGTTGGGCACGAATCGCGAGTAGTATCCTGCGAGCCCTAGAAAACTCTTCAGCTCTTCGGCTTTCTGTGGTCGAGGCCAGTGACGCACCTTCTCTATGTTTGCTGGGTCTGGCTCCACACCGCTCTTCCCCACCTTGTGTCCGAGGAATACTACCTCGTCGCGGGCTAGACAGCACTTCCTTGGCTTAAGTTTCATCCCTGCTGTCCTGATCCTTTGGAAGACCTCCTCCAGGTTCTTGAGATGATCGTCTTGATCCTTTCCGAAGACAATAATGTCGTCTATGTACACCAGGCAGCTTTTTGAGTCCATTCCAGCCAGCACTAGTTCCATCAGTCGTTGGAACGTGGCTCCAGCGTTCTTGAGGCCGAAAGGCATGGACCGGAAGTGGTGCAAGCCTTTTCCCGTGCTGAAAGCGGTTTTCTCTCGGTCTTTTTCAGCGACATCAACCTGCCAGTAGCCCGAGGCCATGTCGAGGGTGGAGAACAGGCTTGCCCCCGCGAGGCTGTCGAGGCTGTCATCCACCCTCGGGAGAGGGACTGGCAGACTTTGGGTGACAGAGTTCACTGCTCGAAGATCGACGCAGAATCTGAAACTGCCGTCTTTTTTCTTGGCCAGAACGATGGGTGAGCACCAAGGGCTGGAACTCTCCTCGATTATTCCCTCTTTCAACATCTTTTCCTTTTGTCTTTCCACCTCTTCTCTTAGTTTCATTGGGATCCGTCGTGGCCTTTGTCGGATCGGAGCCGCGCCTCCAGTTTCGATGTGGTGTTGTAGAAGCTTTGTTTTTCCAATGTCGGACTCTCCCGTGCTGAAGATATCCTGGTATCGTGACACAAGTTGTGTTAGCGAGGTCTTGCCACTCTCTGAAAGGGCAGTAGACTCGAGTTTGAGTTCGCTTAAGAGATCATCGAGCGTCCCTGCACTGAGTTCAGCTGAAGCCGCTGAAGAGCTCGGGACGTCGTACATACCCTTGCCATTTTCTTGAATAGAGTACAGTGTACCGATTTCTGTGCCTGGAGGGATCGTTACTGCTTTGCCCCCGATGTTGGCGACCTGAATCGGCACGGTTGCCTCGCTCGTCACTTCTGTAACTAAACGAGGGACCCTCCACTCTTGGCTGCTCTCAACTGAGTGAGGTTCTAGAACACCCTCCCAAGTGGCTTCTTTAGTGATTTTAACGCCTCCATCTGGGATCTCGACCTCGGCCTGAACGAGGGTCTGAGACCTAGCGGGGATGGTGACTGAGGCACAAGTGACCACCCTTGCTCGTAGCGGTCGTAACTCAGAATATGTTGGTAAAGGAATCTCGACGTTCCCCACTCTGAAAACCCCTGCCCTGTCATCTAGCACCGTTTTGTGCTGGCAGCAGAAGTCTCGGCCTAGAACGACCTGGTAGATCAAGCCTGGAATGACCAGCATAGGCTGGATGAACTGCGAGGTTTGTATCGAGAACGACACTTCTGCTTGTGTGTTGACCTGTATTTTCTGCCCGTTTGCCTGCGTTATTGTTCCAAAATTTCCTTTGTGGGACGCTCCTTTCTGTACAGCCGCTCGGGCGAATTCTTGTCCAATCATTGACGCATCGGCTCCGGAATCAACGAGGGCCCATACACTGCGTCCTTCGACTTCGATTTTGATCACTGAAGCGCGTTTGGGGCTTGCTTCTTGACCAGGCACTGCTGTAGTGTTCCCAACAGCGCCAGAATTATCGCGTGCGGGGCTCGAGGGAGCGATGCCCCCTGCTGCGACTGGCGTTCTCCAGCATTCGTGAAGCGCGTGGCCGTGCCTTCCGCAACCGTGGCAGGAAATACCGGGCGGAATCGCGCTCGGTGCTGCCCTCGGGGCAAAGGACCGTGTTGTCCGTTTCTGTCGGTTTGAAAACCGCGGACAATCGCGTTTGAAATGGGCGGTATCGCCACACAGGTAACAAACGCCTCGTTTACTGTCGGTTGGTTTGCAGTGCTCGGTCACCTGGACTTTCATTTCATTCAACTCACTCCGGAGTTCTCCAAGGACGGTCAGAATATCTGGTGCCTGTCCACCCTCAATGGGTTGAGTTTCTTTAGCCGAAATTGCCACCGTCGTGTCATGACCAGCGGACGCCCGCATAATGGCGAGAGTGAGGTCCTTTTCCCAAAGTCTCTGGACGACTTCCTCCGCTTTTTGAAGCGACAGCACAGTGTGGTCATTGTGCAGCTTCTCTTGAAGCTTAAGATCGCTCAGACCACACAGGAAGTGATCTAGCGCTATATGATCCACCTGTTCACTGGATAACCCCGGGTGTGCCAGGCCTGTGAGTTTTCGGACGCGATCAGCGAATGATTCTATATTCTCTTCAGGCAGTTGACGGATAAAACGCAACTTAGCCCGAGCCCGTCGCGTGTCGCAGCTAGATCCAAATTTATTTTGTAGGGCCCCCTTAAGTTCCTTGTAGTCGCTCCTGGCTCCTTTGTCCAAGTTCCCACAAATGTCCAAAGCAGCACCATCCAGCAAGTCGAGCAGGGCAGTTGCTAGTTTTGTCTTCTCCAAGTCACCAAAACGCGTCTCAAAACGGAAAATCCACGTTTCCCAATTTTCCTCCTCGCGACCGCTAAATTTTGTTGTGCTGTGAATTTTTGAGTACAGTTCGTTCGACATTTTGGGCAGTGTATGAACGACGACTAATAAATATGATCGTATCGTCCAACGATACGGTATGCAATGACCAAACCGGTAATTTGAAAATCGTGTCGTAAAACGACTACGCTATATATGCCCTATCATCGTATCGACCAACGATACGTTATGCAATAACAAAACCAGATAATTTGAAAAAAAACGTGTCGTAAACGACCACGCTATCTGTGCCTAATGAGTTGCAAACGCTGCCGGTGCTTCAACGTGATTTGATATACACCAACTATAATCGACCGGAAATCAGCAAAAGCCGTGTCAAAAACGACTGCAACTTTCCCAAATTTCAGGTCGTAGGTTTAAGGCGCATGTATCGTGAATCGATAACATAGGAGCTGCTAAAACGGTTACCGTTTAACCGAACATCACTTAAATGTAGGGAGCGTAAATGAGCTTACCTTGACCGCGCCAATGTTAGGCCAAAGGCAGCGTCTCCATTTGGTAGGTGTATTGGAGCTTCCACAAGCAGTAGCGGCAGCAGCAGCAGCACAGCAGCACCCGCGCGTGGCGGCTCCCCGGCTCCGAATGACCGCCGCCCCCGGCTGCGGCCGTGACCCCGCGCCGCCGGTCGCAGCGGCGCGCTCAGAGGGAGGCGGCCCGCAGAGGCGCGTCCAGCAGCGCGCCGAGGGGAGGCAACGGGCACACGATCCACTAACACTTCCTAACACCATGGTTTCTGTGACAATCATGTGCAATAATAGCGTTGAATGATTGTATTCATTCATATATGCACGAGTTATGCTCAATTGCACATCGAATCTAAATCGAATCAAGCATCAAATGGCACAAAAAATCGTTATTGTATCACACACGCCAAGTTCGCCAGGTTCTTGATGTTCACTTTTCAGACAAAACAGCTCCACTTGTAATGCAGGATAGCTCCTTCGGTGCGGAAATTATTTAATATGCTTCTCGCGTTGGTTAATTCGCATCACCTTTTTCAAGTCATGAGAACTCTGAAAATCGACATTAATCCATGCTTTGCTGACCCAATTTTGAAGCAATCGTTACTGCCATCTTTTGTAGCTCTTTGTCCCGTATTTTAAGCTCTCGCCTCTCCCTTGCAGGTGAATTTATCCGTGCCCGACATTGAGAAGATCCTGGACACGCTCATCTATGACGGCAAGGTGGAGAGGCGACTGCAGGCGGGCGGCGGAGTCCAGGAGCAGCTGAAACTGTACCGCGCTACGCAGACACTGCTGCCACCTGTCGGCCTGGTCAAAACCCCGTGCGGCATCTGCCCGGTAGGTGGCGCGCATAGGCGTGGGAATCGACGGCGCACCTCTGAGAATGCTGATTGCTGGTTATGGGGAACATGTGGGGACTGGAGCAATAGATCCACATGTCCGAACAAGCTTATTTTGAGCAGACTGTTACCAGTATTGTGATTAAGCTCATAACATTTAATTTTCCTGAGAGATAGGTATGCTGGACCACGTTTGACAACAGCTGCAGTTCCTCACCCGACTCGTTACCGTTTGTGTTAATTGCGGCTGATTGCCATAATACTTCGGTTCCATGATGATTCTTTGCATGCATCGTGAACTCATTACAAAATTATGGTACTGCCCGGATAGAGTTATCGCTTACCGTGCTTCGCAGGCTTGCGCTTGCCCGGACGCGCCAGGTCGCGATCCTACTAACCGTTTCCATTCTTGTGTTTCAGGTGATAGACCAGTGCTCCGACGTGGGCTCAGTCACTCCGAAACACTGTTTGTACCTCAAAGACTGGCTAGAATAAAATTTTTGTTTTGTATGATGGTTGATTTTTCAGAGACTGTTACTTCAAACACACTCAGTCGGATTGACGGTCAGAGTTGGGACCTTTTCCAGTCACCCATGTGAAATGTCTCAGGCCTTTACCAGGTGTTTACCAGCATCATCAGGTGGTCGAATGTTGTTTCAGCGGCTGGGATCGGAGCGTACTGCGACAGTGGATTCACAAAGTCAAACGTCACTTGTCTCGCAGTTTAACCGCTTTTATTGAGAGCACTTCTATGATTACACGCCACGATCTCGGTACTCTAGGAGTTGACAATGACACTGCAATCTGAATTACACTACACACTACATGTCATCAGAGTGAAGCTAAATATCTAGTCACCAACTCACCACCAATGTAGAGGTAAATAAATCATTGAATACCTGTAAATACACAACCAAGCCAGTCAAGATACCATGATTTCACACCATAAAGCACAACGAAAGAGCGCGATTTGACTAGAAAGGGCGGACTTGTCTGTCCTAGAAACACAGACGTGTTCACCGTTCACCAAACCAGTCTCTGTATCATCACTGACGATACGCAGAAGCTTGGCTTCAAACGAGGCGCCAACTACTTTATGTGAACATCCACACCGCAAAGCAAACACACGTCATTCGCCAATTGAAATATGGAACGCGTATGCGTGAGCTGGCCAAAGAATCATGCGCGATTGGCTTGATTTTGAAAGGTGATTCACGTTTCATCGTTAAGCCGTAATTTTGGATCTCTTGCCTATTGTGAAGTCATGATCAATTTAAACAAATAACACTGAAGATAATGCAGGAATGTAATCACTGAACAATAAAGGATACCCGCACATAGCGAGCGGTAAGCTTGATCCCGATTAATCGTCCATTGGTATGAAAATAGAGCAAAAATACACGGATTCTTTTGTGTATGGTACAGCCCACTAAAATACTGATTTGATTCTCCATTTGGGAACGGTGGTCTGTAGTTGGAACTGTCCTGATTGCGGCCACGCACCAGTTTGTTGTCGGCTCATCACGCAATCCTGCGGATGTCGCTATCAGAATGAATCTCACAACTCTATCCACTGCACAGCACACACTGCAACCGGTCGCATCACACTGCTCACCGCATCTCCGACTGATTGTGTCACGCCAGGTACCGCTCGTCACTTCGGCCCACCGCTCGGCTCCGCCTCATGGTGTGGTGGCCGCCGCCGGCTAGCCGGAGACACCGCCCGCTGCACAGTGTGGCCGAAGACCAGTTTAGCGCGAATTTAATCCCAGCGCCGCTCGGATCCACTGAAAATGGTTCTCTGGTTCCAAAACTGACGTTTACCCCTCACCGGACCTATTGGTTTTCAAAATACTTCGTACCCCCCCCCCCCCCCCTTCGCCGGCCGAAGGGGGGGGGTACGACCCCCGTCGCTGTTTCGCCCCTGATGAAGCTTGAGCCTCGCGGAAAAAAACGAGCGTGTGTGCCGTTACGAGACGCAGCAAATGGTATCCGATTTTAAGGTCTCAGGTTAACCTGTGACCTCTGAGTTCAGGTCAAGTGGCCCAAGGCACGGATTCGTTTTTTATTAATAACTTCGCGAAAAAAGGCCGCAGAGTCGCAATTTTGGCATCATCGTGTTCGCCTCGCTCAGGTGCGTCGAATGGTATACTTTTTGTTCGGCTGAAGTCAACTTAAGGTGTTGACCTCGGGTCAAGGTCAGGTTAGAGCCCCCCAGATCACGAAGTTGGTCGAAGGAGGTCATGTTGCATATCATTCGATTCGGCAGGTCTTCCTGAGTCCATTGGTGGCTTTCCCGACTCGCTAGCTCAATTTGATCAGGAGTTATTGACGAAAAACTCTTATTATCCTAGTGACGTCATAAATGACGTCACGTAAGGCCAATAATGCAAAAGTGAAGCATCGAACCTTGCAAGGAGTGCATGAAATCACGATTCCGTGTGCTTGAGATAGTTAATTAGGCTGGAGCCTGTTCGGCCGCGCCCCCCTCCCCCCCCCCCCACCTTGGTCAGGTCACGCCGGGCGGCCGACTAGACATGTTCAAAGCTGAATTGACGGCAAATAGGCAAAAAGTGGCAGCTGAAACTTGCTCGCTTATGTTCAGAAATGTGCGGAGAGTTCAGCCATGCCCTATTCGTCATATCCATTTTTATCCATTTTGACATTTTCCAACTTCTTTATGAAATACTATTGTGAGAACGATACACATGCAGGGCTCCTGTTCTAACTCATTAAACTCAGAAACCATTCATTGAAAAGCTACCATGATAGCAGAAACAGCTTCATCATGAATTGTGCTATCCGGTGATATGCTATTTTTCTCGTATATCTTCTCGAAGCTTCAGTAAAATTTACATTGAAAACTGGACATATTTCTCAGCAACATAGCCCGATTTCAGGAACCGGAGCGTGGGTCTACTTTCGGCAGGGATATAAGTCCTCAAATGATAAAGTGGCTTAAAAATAAGGTTCTATCCGATAACTTCGGACAATTTCCTACCCATTGATAGGTATAAATAACAGTTTATCGAAAGTCGGGTTTTTGATTAAATTCGCGCTAATCTGGTATTCGGCAAGACCGTGCGCTGCTCCGCCCGCCCAGCTCCTCACGGTCTAGTGGTGGCCGCTACTGGCTGACCGGAGACACCGGCTACCGGCCGCCCGCTCCGCCCCTCACGGTGTGGTGGTGGCGGCCACCGGCTGGCCGGACACGGGTGCCGGCCGCCCGCTCAGCCCCTCACGGTGTGGTGGTGGCGGCCACCGGCTGGCCGGACACACCGGCGGCCGTCTGGTCGGGCAGTCGTCCGGCCGTCGGCGGCGTGGTCACCGGCTCGGCGCTGTCGCCGCCCACCAGGTAGGCGGTCGGACCGGGACCGGCCGGCTGCTCGCTGGTGAGCGCCGTGCCCGGCGACCAGCCGGCCTCCTCCAGGTCCCGCTGCGCCTTCTCCTCCTCCTCCTGGACGTGGGAAATAGATGTCAGCGTAACATAGCCTGGGCTATAACAGCCTAAACATCGCACAGAACGGCAAAGGACATACTTATTTATTTATTTATTTATTAAACATTATCAGATCGATCCACTATAAGGCAGGGCTTTTCTCCGATCATCGTCATTACAGTACGAAACACATGAAGATGACAAGTAAACTAAGATCACAGTAGCGCGATACAATGACAATGACAGTAGGTAAATATCCTACCCGACGGTACCACTCAGTCGCAGCACGTTCCTGATCTTGGACTTGAACACTGACTTACTAAGGCCAGCAAAGCCATTGTTCAACGCTGTTCGGTTGTACAGGGACGCAGCACGGTACGTAAATCGACGCTTGCCATGGTTGTTTCTTACACGTGACAGAGCTAATAGGTGTGATTGTCTAGTATCCCGACATACGTGTTCGTGGTTGTAAGAGAGATAAGAGCGTAAAAGATGAGGCTTTCCAGATGTAAGAATGCTATGGATCAGTGACAGGTCGGCATGTGCTATAAAATCAGCAGCAGGCAGCCACGCAAGTTCCTCGAGCACATCAGAAATGTGCTCGAATTTCCGTCTCCCGGAAATAACTCGGGCTGAAAAGTTGAAGACCTTCTGCAGCCTGGCTATGGCCGTGCGATTGGCGCTACCGAAGACGGGCGCACAGTAACGTATGTGTGAGAAAACGAGAGAATCGACAAGGCGAGGTAAAACAGAGTGTGGAATGATATGTCTGATGTGCATGAGACCGATAAGAATGCCGAAACAGCGGTTGATGATGGTGTTGATATGTGATTCCCAAGAAAGTTCAGAGTCCATGACAACTCCTAAGTTCTTCACTGTGCTTGACAGAGGAAGTGTTTGACCCATAAACTCGATCTGAGGTGGTTCTCCGATCTGAGTCAGCTGGCGACGGTCGCCACACATGAGCAGCTCCGTCTTGCTGGCGTTCACCATCATGCCGTGCTGGGAAAACCATGTACACAGCACGTCTAACAAGCTCTCCAGAGACAGCTTCAGATCGGGTAGTCTGCTGCGAGGACCCGTGATGGCCACCTGGGTGTCGTCAGCATAACGAACTGAGAAGGTGTGGAAGTCGTTGATGGTGGATGGTATGTAGCAGCTGATGTTGTTGCTGACGATGTTGAATAACAGGGGCCCAAGGCAGGAGCCCTGGAATGTGCCGATGTCAATGGGTAGGGGGTCCGAGAAAGTGTCTCCCAGCCGTACGCGCTGTGTGTGGCCTGACAGATAACTCCTGATCCATCCGGTTGAAATCTGGAGCTGTTCTAGGCTAGTCAGCAGTGTATCGTGATCTACGACATCAAAACAACGGCTGAGGTCGATTAGTGCGAGAAGAGTTACCTGAGACTGGTCCATGCCGTCCAGGATTTGGTCAGTCATGGATAAAAGAGCTGTGGTTGTGGAATGATCTGACATAAAACCATGCTGTTCCGGACTAAAAAGGCAGTGATGTTCAAGGTAAGTACTGATCTGATGATGAACTAACTTCTCAATGAGTTTGCACACAGTTGGCACATTGGTGATAGGTCGAAAGTTCGATGTCAGTGACGGGTCTCCTCTCTTATGGAGAGGGATAACAACCGCTCGCTTCCAGCTAGCGGGAACGTGCTCTGTGACTAGACTAGTATTGATGATTCGTAGTAAATGGCGGCCGATGTGGTTAAAACACAGCTTTAAAATCCTAACTGGTATGTCACCCGGCACGCATGTGTCCCTATCCGGCATACTAAGGATCACTCTGTGGAGCTGGTCAAGCGTGACTGGTATGATGTGTAGAGCCCCTGTATGGATGCGAGGGAGCCTAACATCCAGCGGCTGGCGACCAGAACGTTCAAACTCTGTCACCACTGCGTCACGAGTAGACCTGCCTATGGAACAGAAGTAGTTGTTAAGCTCTGAGGCAGTTAAGCTGACAGGAGATACTGAGGGACCGCGCTTAGGTGCAATAACTGACTTCAGTTGCCTAAATAGACCAGAGGCAGGGCTATTACCATAGACCACAGAGGTCTATGGACATACACTTTCAATAATAACTATGGCAACTTCCTTACACAAGTCCTCGAGCGAAGGCTCTTATGGCATGAGAACCCCGTTCACCTATGTCCACTGAAGTGGTCCTGACTACCGACCTTTTTCTTCATTTCGTAGTACTCGTCGAGTTCGTACTGATACTTTGGTGACGTGATGCCCAGCATGTAGGCCAGTTTCTCTCCCATATTGTCCACTCCGCCGAGCGTGCGGTATCCGGCATAGCGGAACCACCACCATGCCCATGGTAGCCAGCCCATCGATTTCTGCCAAACACACAAACAAGTCTTAAAATACCGCGTCAGGTCGGGAGTTACGATCTCTTCGCGAAATGTCACATCATCACATTAGGTCATTCAATAAGAGAAAGTCTGGCATGTTAGGTTTTGGTTTTCTGCTTCTTTAGCCCAAAATGTGCAGTGGTGATCCATTTGATTTTCTGCGTAGCCCAGCTAGAGACGATGCAACCAACGGCACACCGGACCGGTCACACTCACTGGGTTCTCCGTGCGCAGGTGCGTAAGGGCGTCCTGGGCCGGCTGGTCGGGCTCGTCCTCGTCTGTACTGTATTCCTCCATAGTGCCATCGCTGAAGTGCAGGATGCGCCGCGGCACGCGGGCCTTCTTTCCATCGACACTTTCTGCGGGCACCTGGAGACAAGAGTGGGGTGATTTGGTATAAATACAGTGCATCAAGGTTAGTAGTAGCATTATATCACAATGCAATGTTATTGAATCTGACCGGTACCTTTTCTGAGACAGTTGGGACCGCTATGGGTGTCGGAGGGGCTTCTCCGCGAGAATCGCCAGCCGCCTGCTGCTCTTCAGTCTGAAACAAAAACGAATTGTTTACCACCTTACATGAACCTAAAATTGAAAAAAATCCTTTTCAGTTGAGTGACAGTTGGTGGTACACAGAGTTGCCAACTTAAATCAGAGTAAATGAGTAAATGTAAATGTGGTAACTGGTAAATGAGTAAATGAGTAACTGTAGTACAGAGCCAGAGTAAATATTGATGATACTCATGAGTTTAGAGAAACCCTTATTTTGCCATTCATCTTTTTATAAACTTTGCTTACATGCTTCACTGGAAAGATTGGGCCATGGCCAATCAGTTTGGCAAAGCTTGTTTTGTCAGAACTTAGTCCAGCCACCAAGGTATGAGCACACAATTCAGGGTATCAAAGAGAAGTTGAATGTCAAAGTCAAGTATGCCAAATAGTAACAGGTGGTCCATCCCACTCAAATTACTTTGATGACTCAGACTGCTCCCACCATTTGTGAACTGCATACTACATCTCATATGAGCACTGGAGTACCTAACTTAAATCTAGCTTCATTCAACAGGATCTAGCACTTCAGCAGCTCAGCCAATGTTCTAGATGAACATAACATGCAGCTTAATCAGTATATGTGAAGATGAAGTCCAAGTGGTAGGTTGTAGGTTGGTAGGTGCAGGTTGGTAGCTTGGTAGGTGGTAGGGATGTAGGTTGTTTAGTAGGTCAGTACACTGTTAAGAAAGATAGGCAGTTTCACCTGCTATTCCCATGCCAAATTTCAGCCGCCCTATAGGTAAGGTTAGATCAGGTTAGATGATGTTGTCTACTTGGATTTCAGCTCCACATTTCAGCTTAATCTCCCTGAAAAATCATCATTTTTAAGCCTTCGCCACACAAACTATCATCATACTGCCAAACACAATTCATAAAAATTCTTTTGGCAGAAAGATACAGTCTCAGTCTGAAATTAAGAATCTGAAATTAAGGGTCTGAAAATAAGGATCTACTCCCATGGCCAATCTAGAAATATCTTGGAAGAGAAGGCTTTATGAGCACCAAAATACGTTGGTATCTAATGTCTACCAAAACTTCACCCAAAAATTTAGCTTTAATTCACAAGGGAGAATGACACGTCCCATCCGCCACGTGGTGCGCCCGAAACTGTTGGCTACATGATATTCTCTCGAGGGAGAAAAGTTGTGATCAGAAGTGGAATTCAAATTGGAATAAGCTTGAAAGTTGAAGGAGCTTCGATTCGAGGAGCAACATAATTATTTTGGAAGACAAGAGGAGGTTGGAGCCACCATGGGAACATGCCTTAACTGTGGGTAATAAGGTGGATAGTTTGACCCATCAACATAAACATTGCAATAAAATGAATTAGAGACTGGTACCCAACTAACAGATTTAGATAGGTAGGTACCTAGGTACCCTACCGACTTACCATCTCAAGATTAACATCTCTGCTGTCTGCGGCCATCCTGCTATTGATATTGTAATTTTAAAAGTAACAATTAAATATGCGACCGATATACTCCGCACTTTTGCTGCTATTATTACTCTCCGTGCATTGCAATTGGCAATGGAAAACAAACAAACCAACATATGTGGGTCATCTCTGCGCGTTAGTGACGAGTTCATCAACTTTTGCATTTGAGGTTTATTTTTAAAGATATAAGTGGTTTTTTATTTCTTTTTTCAAATGATGATTTTCTTTATTTCTTGTCAAAAATATGAGCTAAAATTACTGAAAAAGTGAATATTTTGTTCCTTTATATCGTTACATTTGACTCAAGTTGTATATCAAAAGCTCTTGAAAAACAGTTACCATGGCGACTGATTGACAAGTCAAAACAAAACAAAAAGTCAGTGCAAATGGTGTCCAGAAGCTGTGTGGTGTCGATCACGCTATAATTACTGCATTTTTATAAGTTTCCCGACGCTGTTGTTTCCATACTGATGTCAAATGTGGGCGATACGACGGAGGTAATTAATAATCCATGAATTCTGTAGCCTGGGTAAAATATGTTCATGCATAACATAGCATGGCGATATAAGGTGGCTACCACCTCAACCTTCCGGCTTCCAGTGTTTTGTTTTTGTTTTGTATGTACCGTAACCTTTGGTATTTATATACATAAGGTCCGATCGCCAAAGTGAGTATAACAAACATACCACACGATGTATTTTGGCCTCCTGATTTCATATCAGACAGTTATTCATGGCGCAACCAAGTTTTAAAGCACCTGTAAAATATTTACCGTCACCATCGGCCACTACCGCACTCCACCAGCCGTTTGCGCCACGTGGAAAGGATCGAATGAATAAACTCCAAGGTTGAGTTAAAACATTACGCTATTCGATTTTGTTATGAAAGTGACGTCATAATAATACTCGTGGCGGAGCAGTGCAGTGCCGAAGGCGATGCTTAGGAGAGATTACAGGCAAGAGTAAATCAAATATTTTTAGGTTAAGTGGTTATGTATCTGGCTTCAGGCCGAAGGCCTGAAGCCTGATGCATGACCACTTAACCTAAAAATATTTGATTTACTCTTGCCTGCTATCTATTCCTGCAAGTAACTTTTTCCTTATCCCCGGTAGGCAAATATCAGTAGGTTAGGTTAGGTTAGGTTAGGTTAGGTTAGGTTAGATTAGTTTATGATTTTTACCATTTTTTTCGTGTTTTGTTATTTTGACGTCACTTTCATTGATTATCGTATTTGATTCCCTCCCCACCCATAAACCCCGGTTCCCAACATTTCCCCGAAAATGGCAGCAAAAAAACTTCATATGGCAGCGCTAAAACGGCGGCGTTTTTCTCTCGTCGCATTCATTCGCGTCATCGGTGCGTGCACGTGTGGGTATGTATCGTGTTGTGAAGGGGTGTAACAGGTTGTTATTTTTGTGTTTTTTGATTTTTCCGCCGCACGTAAGTATGATATCTGGATTCAGAATGTCAAATAATGTAAGAATATGCAAAATTTATGCGTGAACAGTCAATCGGACCTTATGTAAATATTTACCTAACCTTTTAAGATGGTCGTTTACATGTTTCTTGAATTGTTAAATCGTCTTTTCGGAATGCCAACTTAGACGTATCCAAAGACGTATCAGACTCACCACTGCATGCAAGGCCGTATAAGACTGCATGGGGTTTCTGCCTTCTGGGCCCCTGCTGTGCAGAGGCACTGGCGAGTGGCGCGGCCGGCGGCTCAGGGGAGTGTGGCGTAGCAGTCGGTAGCGAATAGCGATGGAACACCATCGATTAAGGGGGGGGGGGCCTGCCGACTTTTGGTCCCATTCTTTCCATGCAACGCCCATAGGACTCATGTTTACCTTCCAGGCAGTGGGGGGGCATTTTTTGCCCTCCCCCCCTTTAGTTTTTCGATATATCTCGAGAACCGCTGCGCCGATCGTCACCAAACTTTCAGTACCCTCCCGTGAACAGCTATTGCACATTGTGACCAAAACTTGTTCCAAAGGCTATGATAGGTTGGACGCTAATGACGTCAGAGTGACGTCATTTCTGCCATTTTCTACCAAAAAAAAAAAGGTTTCGCGAGAAGAGCTGTCAGGCCTACAGCCTTAGATATACAGAAAAATGTTTAAACATAAAAGGTGTAGAATTTAAAGGGCTACAAAACTGTAATCTCAGATTTTTTAATTTTTTTTATTTTGACCCCAAAAATCAAAAATAGATTTTTTGAATATAGGGGACGACCGTACAAGAGTACGCACCTAATGCATTTTGTCGTCTCACGCCGTTCGGTTTTGGTTTACGGCTACGATCAGTATATTCCGATAAAGCCTGATCATTTGTCCATAAACTGTCATGACCACAGCGGCCTACGTCCAATTTAAAGCGTGACCGTAAGCAATTTTCTAACACCCTGCATTTGCGTACTCTTGCCCGATAGGCAGTACAAGACTACGCACTTCGTGCGGGTGGGGTACGCACTACGTGTATGCATTCCTACTCGCTGGAATCAATGCATTCATGCAAGTAATTAAACTATTGTTATCTTTATTGCCGCAGCCACTAAAACAGTCACTCTTAACAGAGTCGAGGCGCCCCGCTGTGGTCGTGCAAATACCCCCTGGTCTACCAGAAACAGTGATGCTCTTCGTGGTTTCCCCAACTGCTCGGCGTCCCCCCGAGTGTCATCCACCTTGTTGGCCAATCCCGTGAATCTGCTGAGGGGTTGCGCGCCTGATGCACTAAGTTGATTAATGCAACACAACCACGCACTCGGAAAACTGCGTACTCTTGTCCGCCACGGCAATGCGTACTCATGGCCGACACATACGGTAGACACAAAGCGGGCTGAGAGCTGGCGCCACAGTCGTCGCGTAAACAATTGGGACTTGACACACACACCAGATTTCCCGTGGTATCTTGATAGAAAAAAATGAAAATTCTATTGCCACTCCCTGAGGAAGGTCACACATTTTCCTGCACCCCAAAAAGTCTAAAAGTGAAAACACGATGTGAAAAACACGTCTAAGCCTCTAAAAAAAGACAAGTGAACCCGTAGCGCGCCCACCTTCCACCATCGATGCCGCGTGAGAGACAGCTTCCTTAGGACTCGAGATGACGCTGATGAGGCGTTGCGAAGCAACCGAAACAGCTGCTGCGTACTCTTGTCGCCTGCGTCCTCTTACCCGCCCTTACCCTAATAGCCGAAAAATCCAAAAAGTTTTTTGAATTTCGAAAAAACGGAAGATATGTGATAGTCCCTACCACCTTCTATCCACATACTAAATTTGAGATCGATACCTCTTTTTTTGGCCAAGTTATAGCGAAATAACTGTTAAAAATTGATGACCTCAAATTTTCAAACTCAATTTTTAGCAATTCTAGACCTCGTAGCGCAAAAAACGCCACCATTAGACTCCCCGTGACAAGCTGCATCGAATCAATGCCCATTTTATGCAAAAATATCAACTTTGAAATTTGACCTTTTTTTACCTGACCTTGACCTGAGTCCTGACCTCCACCAGAAAGTGACCTAAACCGTACCTGATGGTCTTATAACCAACACCATTGAGTTGGAAATGAAAAACTGGCCATATAACATGCATTGCACAACCTTAGTAAAGTTGGGTTCATGTGGTGACCCTTGGTGACCTTTGGTGACCTGACCTGTGACCTGACCTGGTATGACCAGTGACCTCTAATAGCAACATATGTACTAGATAACTGACGCCCTATCGCTGATTTTCGACAAAATGTGTTTTACTCGGTGTTATAGCGCTTTCCCTAGAAGCCCCGTGAACGGTGAAACATTCTATCTTTGACCTGACCTGTGACGTCATCGGTGACCCCGAGGTCAATGAAATTTGGTTTCCTTCGACAAATTTGACAGGGCTATCGAACGCCGTTTGAATTTTCTTCGCCGTTTGAAGTTTGGATCCGTCCAGTAGCAGTGGCGCAGCCAGGGGGGGTGAAAGGGGTGAGATCTCACCCCCGTCTCTTATCCTAGGGGCCCACCGTCGATTCGAACTGTAACGTTATGCAATGTAATACGAGACGTAGTAGCCTTTGCTCATATTAATATGAGCAAAGGCTACTACGTCTCGTATTACATAGTATACGAGGTGTGGCTAAAAAGAAACCGGACTGCTCGTGCTGGCCATAGAGTAGGGGGCCCGAAGACTAGCGAGCCACTTGACATTAATCTTTATCATATTGTCGTGATGTGTGCCAAACGGCACCTCGTTATCGCTATTATTCTCCTTTCCACAGCTCTTTGTTTTATTGATGTTGGACGGCCTTGTCATCGCCAGGCTTCTACAATGAGCGTCGAAGAAAAGAAGGAACATCACGTTCCTTGCCAGACTGGAGAAAAGTCCAACAGAGACGCTGAATCTGTTCAAGGCTGTTTATGGGGAGCAATTCATGTGTCACATGCAAGTGTTTGGATGGCATACGAGGTTCAGCACTGGCCGTGAGGATGTCGGTGATGACCCCAAGGTCTGGAGGTCCATCAACATCCGCACGCATGTCGAAGTCGAGGGTGGAGACGACATTGATCGTCTTTTTCGATCACAGGGGATTCGTTCACCGCCAGCTCGTGCCGGAGGCGTACCACAGTCAACCAGCACTTCTACAAGGAAGACCTGGGACGCCCCTTCTCACGAGCGGCCGCACCAAGTGGAATTTCTGGGAAGCCAAGAACTGGGTGCTGCATCACGACAACGCGCCCGCGCATTCTGCCATTAGCGTCAAGCAGTTTTTTTTGGCGAAAAGCAGATCGCGGTGCTCAAGCACCCTCTTTACTCCCTGTGACTTTCGGCTGTTCCCTAAAATGAAAAACGTCGTCAAGCAAACCCATTTTGAATCGGTCGAGGACACCCAGACCAGAGTGACCGGCGCCAGCGTCATTAATAAAATAAGGAGCTGTGGAAAGGAGAATAATAGCGATATCGAGATGCCGTTTGGCACGCATCACGACAATATGATAGAGATTAATGTCAAGTGTGTCGCTAGTTTTTGGGCCCCCTACTTTATGGCCAGCACGAGCAGTCCGGTTTCTTTTTAGCCACACCTCGTATATGTTACAGGCAAAGTGAAAACTCGGGCATTTTGCAAAATGCCTAGGCAATTTGCAAAATGCCTGACTGGCTAGGCATTTTGCAAAATGCCCAGGCAATTTGCAAAATGCCTGACCTGCCAGGCATTTTGCAAAATGCCTAGGCAGTTTGCAAACTGCCTGGCCCACCAGGCATTTTGCAAACTGCCTGAAATTATTTTCTCAGGCAGTTTGCAAAATGCCTGACATCGAACTCACACCACCGACGATGCGTAAGCATCATTGTAAGTGCCGCCAACAGGGGTTAATCACAAGCGATACGCACCAAGTGGGAGGACACACAGTGAGACATTCTCCGGGTAGCGCTGCCGAGTTCAATGTCACTGGGCCCCAGGCAGCGCGAGCGGCCCGGCCGCCGCGCCGGCCACCGGGCGCCCGGCGCGGTTTATCGGT